GTTAGCGGTTCGGTACAAAAAGTTACATAGACTAGCTTTTTCAATCCGCTAGCGGTTTGGACTTTAACCGCTATCCGCTAGTCTCAAACTGCTAAATAAAAATTTTACCAAATACTTTATTTATAGCGGTTTCGAAATATGTAAATTTATCAAACACTTATATTTAGCGGTTTAAGTAAAATCACTAACCATTACCTCAAAACCGCTATACCAAACAGGACCTTAGCTTTCTTGGAGGCGTAATACATACATGCCCTAGTAAGTCACCTTGGAGATTTACTCGTGCTTCATCTGACGGTACTTCAAAGAAATGGAATTCTTATTAAAGATTTGTTGGTTCAAGTGGAAGAATCTCAATTTTATTTTAAATAAAATTTTGAGTTCGAGTCTTTTGAATAAAAGAATAGGTGTTGTGAGAGTTTTGCTCTTAATGGATCTGACGCAACTTGATTCAAGATTAATCAAAATTTAATGTAATTATTAGATTAATCAACTCTAACGTGGTTATCGAATATCAGGATGTTAATAAAAAAAAAAAATTGGAATCCTTCCTCCAAGTGGTACAACTCTGAGAGCATGTAATCCACAGAGGATTTGGCTTCATGAAAAACATGCCGCAATTCACATTCCTAGTTTTTATTCAATAGCTCAATATATACAACGTCGACAGACTGGGGTTAGAGAATTGACGGTATCAACTAGATTTAGTATTTTCTGTCTCGCTAGTAAAGAGTCAGTCCCAATAATCATCTTTGTAAAGCCTTTATCCCAAATTCACTAAAGAGCTTTCCATAGTGCGAAGATCTTTGGCTCGAATGGTGTAACCTAAGCCAAAGCTGTCGTGTAAACCTGAACATCCAAGAGCCCATGGAGTCTTGGCATGGACCACCTGCTACTAAAGTCTCCTAGAGCACCTCTGGCTGAACCATCCACATTAATTTTGGACATAACCAGAGAGGAGGCATCTCCCAACCAACCAAGCATTTCTTTAAGCTCTACGCCACAGTTTTTAAAAAGAAATAAGACTAGTGTTTTGCAATTTTGATTATAAAATATTAATAATTAGATGAAGTAGTTCTCTCTTATTATTGAGTGTCCTTTTTGATTAAATAATTAATATTTTGTAATTTAATATAATTTGAGTTGTAAATTACTTTTTTAATAAAAGAAACAAGAGAATGGTATATATTTGTTTATCTAAAAGAAATTAGAGTTTCAATTCAAAAGCACCACTCATGCATTTAGTATTTTATTTATGTAAAATTATGTATGTAAATTTTTAAATTGATTAAATATATCTAACTAATTCAATAATTATATAAGATTTACCACAATTAAAATATAGATTAGAAAATATAGTTTATTGAGGGAGAAGTTATAAATATTTTATCAACTTAAAACTTCTTACATAAAATCTAAACACATAGATCATTTTATACAAGATTGATATTTCAAAATATTCACTAAAAGATAATGTTTTTCTAAAGTGAAGTAGTGAAACTTAGATTTTTTTTGTAGAGTTTTATTAAAGGTATAGATTGAGGGCGCAATTATTACATCTTTTTAACATTAATTAATATTAGAAAGATAAAAATTAACATTTACTTAGTCGATTGTCTAATTAAAATAATACTAATAGCAATAATTGTAAAATTAATGTTAATTTTTATATTTTTTATTATCAATTAATGTAAAAAATATAATAATTATATTTTCAATTTATACCTAAAACACATGATATAAAAACTATTTTTTGAGTTGAAATTGACATAAACCATCCTCAATAAATAATGGGGTTGAATTGAAACAACATTAATTAAATTGGGACAGAACATGTAATTTACGGAAATTACTATTGAGGGTATGACGTGGACCGTTTGCCTTTGTTGCACATACAATGATCCACGTTAGAACCAATGAGCTTCTGACACGCAGTCGCTTCCACTGTATTCGTCCTCATCTAAGTGCACCTCACACTCTCCTCCTCCCCCTCCTCCTCCTCCTCTCCCCTTCCCCCTTCAACAGCATCACTTATTTTCCTCAAAGATCTGCAACTCGCCATTGCCATTCCTTTTTCCCTTTCTTCTAGAAACAAGACTCTCTCACCTCTGATACTGACCATGACTGACGCCGTCGAACCATCAACGTCGGCGAGGGAACCGAATCCGAACGCCATCCTCCATCCCCGACGTGAGCCTTTCGAGCACGGCCTTCTCCAAATCCCGAAGCTCATCTTCACTGATCCTGTCCAAGCTCTAACACCGCTCAAGCTGAAATTCGCGTCGTCGACGAGTCTCCGAGTTGACTCCGCCACGCTAGCGGAAGCTTTCCAGATCTCGCCCGACCATGCACGCCTCGTCCTTGACACACTCGCGTCTGTCCTCCACTCTGAATCTGATCCTCTTGTTAAGGCTCGGCCGGATGAGGTTGATTCTGTCGGTGCTGATTTGCGTGATCTGATATTGTTTCTGTATATTCAGTCTTATAAGAAGCTGTTGCCGCGCTCGCATAGCTCGGCCTCGGCCGCTGTGGCTGATGTATGGCCGTCCACGTCTGCATTCGATGGGTTCTTGTCAGCGCTTTCTCCTTTGCAGGTGAGAATTTTGATCAATTTGATTACATTTGGGGTGAAATGTGGATGATTGCTTGAATTGAGTCGTGGTTATTGAGAATTTTGTTCTTTGCTTTTGGAAATGTTCGTTATGTGCGTGCATTTGAATTACGACTTATGGATTGGTTTAGATTAATAGAATTGTTAATTCGCATTTATTGGAGAATTTTGCTTAGTTCTCTACAATTCCTTTAATTTAGATTAATTAATAGCAGCTTATGCTGTTGTCTTTGTTTATAGGATATTTGAATTGAAGTTATTGCTGCTTATATTGATGTTAAAGAGTATACTTGCTTTTGAAGCTGGGGCTTGTAGAGTTTGGGAAGGTTTTGATTTTACTCTGCGCATTGGGAAAAAAAGAGACCATTGTGGTTTAGTTTCATATTGGTAACTTAAAGAGCTTATTAAGATCGTACTTTTGCTTTTGTATTTGGAAGCCTAAAACTGGTATTTATTTTGCATTCTATTGTCATATTTAATTAACTTACTTCTTTACAACTTATGGATGTTGCATTATGCTGAGTTTGGCATAAAGGGGATGTTTGTGATTTAAGCGGAGTCCTATGTGGTATTTCAAACCATTTTTATTTGATTGTTTGAATGGTAGTTCCCTAAATGTTACTTTCATAGTACTCAAAAGGATGATTAATGTGACCAAGATCATATTAATGAGAGGAGATTTTACCTTGCAAATTTCATTTTAGTAGATTTTAGCAGTGTGGATAGATATTTGTTTATGTTCATTTCTTTTGGTGTTGAAAACAGTTAAATTTCAAGGGCCAAAAAAAAAAAAAAATCTTTTTTTTTTCCTTAATTGGTATTTCTATGTCCCAAACATATGTGTTTTCTAATGATTGATTAATTTCAGTTGTATATATTTGAAGTTAGAAATTTCTATTTGAAGTGTTTTGATTTATTCCTTTACACTTAATCCTCACATTGCATCATATTGCAGTTTGTGCGTTGCAATAATCGCCGGTTTATGCCATCACAGGCTGATGAAGAGGTTCATCAGTTATCTTATCTACAAAAGCACTTGGCTAACATTCTCTCACTTTTAGCAGAGCCTACAGAGGGGGAGGGAGATGAGTCCCTGGTTTGTAATATTGCTCCTTGTTATCCGTAGTTTGGTGGAATTTTCAGGTTTATAAGTAGCAGATTTCACTCACAATCTTTGGCTACCTTTTTTTTTTTTTTTTTTTTTTTCTTTTCTTTTCTTTTCTTTTCCTTAATGTTTGAATGCAGTTCCATTTGTTGTTGGCAAAAATTGAAATTGTTTTTCGAATCAAAGAAGCTTCATGATCATCTTTCTTGTGTTTCTTTCGAATTTTGTTTGATTGCACTCACTAAAGCCAATAAAATTGCGAGAGTAGATTATATTGAGTAGAGGATGTTATTTTTTTATTCTTAGAATGTGTCCTCTTAAGCTTGTGCCATACTTCTTGAGTTTAGCTTGCCCCTTGCCCGTGTTGCAGTTCCATTCTATATTGTTGAGGTTAATTCAGAGTGAGTTATCCTTACATCTTTCTCTTTTTTTTTTTTTTTTTACTAAAATGATATCCGATGTATTTCCTAGTGGTTTTCGGCAGAATGGGCCCATAGTCGTTGACTCATTTTGAATGCTTTCTTTGTTTGTGATTAGTGCCATTGCACTGCACTGTCCTGTCTTCCACATTTCATAGGCATCAATTTGTTTATTCTTGCCAACCTAGAAGCATCACTGGATTTCTTTTCCCCACACAATTTTTCCTCTCTCTCAGTTCTCATGCAAAATTTTATTTGTCCCTCGTTTATCCACAGCCACTTCACACTCGTTTTGTTAGTGTTTAGTAAGAGCTTCTATGTATTGGCTTCAATTTTCTCAAAGAAGTGCTATTATTCCAGGTTTTAACCATGGAAGGATTTGAGCACCTTGGGTTTCTGATTCAATTTGGTGAAAGGGGATATGAAGGAATCCCCTTAAGCCAAGCGGCTCCATTTTTTGCAAATTCAGATCCAGACATGCCAGCTGTTCCTGTTCCTGCTTCACACATTCATGATTGGCTTAAACAGAGTTTAGCTTCTGCTTTGGAACATATTACAGAAAGAATTTCTGCAAAAGAAAATGGGCCTTCAAGTGGCTCTGATCAGGATGTTGCCATGACTGATGCTTGTCCAAGCTCAATCAAGGCCACACCAAGTGCTAGGGGTCTGTGTTTTATTGAGGGGATTTCTAAATCATCATACGTAAAGCAGGCACCTGATCTCAGAGGTTCTTCAGTGAAGGTTAGCTTAAACTGATTTGCTTTTATTTGCTGATAAAGAAAAAAAAAAAAACTAATTTGGTTTTATTGCCATAGTTTGCATTTAGTGTTTCTGTGAAGCATGTTATCTGTGCCAAAACTTGCTTTGTCAAAGCTCTATAGTCTAACTAGATATAATTCAATATGTAAGGCTATTAATGGATTGACCAATCAAGTAAGGAGTAAGACTCATCTACTTGAAATTGAATTGACCAAATGTCTAGTTGATTGACTGTTTAAAATCATCCAAATATAAATTATTGAGATACATATAATATCATTTTTGTTGCCAGATCTAATTTGATTGGACTTAAAACTTTGCTAAATTGGGTTTGCTATGCCATTCCATTAACATATAATCTTATATTGCGTTAATAACCATAATGCTTAATGTTTTCTTTTGGATTATGATCTTGTTATTGTCACATGTATGTCGAACTAATTTGAGTTCAGTACTACATAGAATTTGTCAAAATCTAAACTAGACTCACCGTTTAAACCAGTAATCCAGTATGGATGTTAAGATGAAAATTTCTTATATGCATGTTGAGTGGATGAGATGAACATTCGGGAATCATATTTCTTTGGAATGGTACACTTACACAAGGATTTGAGACTTGAGATGCTTGGCATTACCTTCTTCTTTTTTTTCTTTTCTTTTCTTTTTAATGAGGAAAAATGTCATTTAGTCTTATCTTAATAGCCTGGAGGCTCAATTTTAAACTTAATGAGTAAATAGTTTGCATTCAGTTTGAAATCATTAATTAGTTAACTTAGAAACAAGTAGAGATTCATGGGAAAGGCTGCCCAGGAGAACATGCTGATCTACTTGGTATTAGTTTAAAGCATGACCCATATCTGAAAATCTTGCTGTTTCAAGTCCACAAAATTAGAATTGTTAACTGGTTACTGTGTAATTGAATTGGTTGGGATTTGTGGGGACTTTAGGGACTGCATCTTTTTATGAGAGATGGTTAGTATACACCTTGACCAGAGTTTGCATTGAAGGCTTGATGATTGTTGGATATTAGATTGTTTTAGGTATGGTATATCTCTAACTTCAAACATAATGTTTCTAATTGCAGGTGATTAATTGCCATGATTCTGTAATTTACATTTTAGGGCCTATGAGATATGCCACTGTCTGTGGGTGCTCTGATACTACTATAGTTCTTGGAGCTGTTGGCAAGGTATTATTGGCTTCCATTTTTTGTTGTTGAAAGATCTTACTATTTCAATCCCGTAAAAATAGTACCCTTACCTGGTTAGTGGTTA